GATGGATGGATGGATGGATGGATGGATGGATGGATGGATGGATGGATGGATGGCTATGTAAGATAGATGATGAATGGATAGATGGATATGTAGATGGATGGATGGGTAGATAGATGGATGATGGCTGGATATAGATGGATATATAGATGGACAATGGATGGATGGATGGATGGCTATGTAAAAGAGATGACGAATGGATAGATGGATATGTAGATGGATGGATGGGTAGATAGATGATGACTGGATAGATGGATATATAGATGGAGGATGGATGGGTGGGTGGATGGATGGAGGGATGGATGGATGGATGGATGGCTATGTAAAATAGATGATGAATGGATAGATGGATATATAGAGAGATGGATGATGGATGGATGGGTAGATAGGTGGATGGGTGAATGGATAGATAAACACATGGATGGTAATAGAGACAGATATCAGTGAATATAAATATATAATATCTATAATATGTGTGTACCTATATATGAGTGTACATGCATTGTATGTGTATGTATAGATTGCATTTGGTCTTCACAACCCTTTGCAGTAGGTGCTGTTATCACTAGTTTACAAATGAGAAAAAAAAAAAAAGTCTCTGAGAGGTGTCTGTCCCATGTGACTTGTCCCATGACTAGTAGGTGTCTGAAGGAGGATTTGAACTCTTGTCCTTCCTGACTCTGGGATCATAGCTATCTACTACACTTCCCTAGCTGCAGGCTAGTTCCTGGTTTAGACATTTATGAGTTGTGCCACCTCTTATAAGTCCCTTCACCTCTTAGGTGCTTTATCTATAAAACAGTCATGATAATACCTACAACTGTTCCCCTCAACTCTAACAACTTCTTATAAGGATCAAATGAAACACTCTGTAGATGGTAAAATTCAGTATAAGTGAGGGTCCAGTTGGGAGCCTAGGATTATTTTATTATGCTGAAGAAAAGGTTGACCATCTAAAGCAGTGGTCTCCAATTTTTTTTTGTTTTGTTTAGTGAGGCAGTTGGGGTTAAGTGACTTGCCCAGGGTCACACAGCTAGTAAGTGTCAAGTGTCTGGTCTGAGATCGGATTTGAACTCAGGTCCTCCTGACTGCAGGGCAATGCTCTATCTACTTCGCCATCTAGCTGCCCCTCTCCAGTTTCCTTTTAATCACACAAGCTTCTCACCAAAGAACTGGGGAGCATTCAGCCCCCAATATGCATCTATTTTCTTATAAATTGTGCACAGTACTAATAAGTATGTAAGTTATAAAAGATCCAACAAAATAGAAATTCAAAAAGGAAAAAGATAAAAACAAAATATTTGATACTTGAGTCAATAAAGAACCACTAAGATTTCTTGAGTAGGGGGCTGAAGTGTGCTTTAGGAAAATGACTTCACAGCTGTGTGGAGAAGGATGGATTGGAGAGGGGACAAACTTGGAGCAGGGAGATCAATTAGTGGCTATTGCAGTAAGCATGAGGGTCATCTCCAGTCCTGATTTGTGATTCACCACTGGACCCAGATGGCTCTGGAGGAGAGAGTGAGGCCAGTGACTCTGCACAGCCCTCCCTCACTTAAATCCAATCCACTTGCATGTCATGGCATCACCTCCCTGATGTCAGGGTCGTCTTCAAGAATGAAGGACAAACAAGTAGACCTTCACAAGGCAATGAGGCCCTGAACTTGGGTGGTGGATGTATGAGTGAGGACAAATATGGGATATGTGGAGACAGAAAGGTCAAGATTTGATAACTGATTGACTATGTGGGGTGAGGCAGAGTGAGGGAGGAGTCAAAGATAAATTGGGGGTTGTGAGAATTTGGATGACCAGAAGAATGGTAACCTCACAGTAGTAATAAGGGAGCTTAGGAGGGTAGCTTTGCGTGGAAAGATAACATGATATCTTTAGTATAGATCATAATCTATATATAATTGCTAACCTTGTATGATTCATTCTGTCCCATCCAAAATGGGACAAAAAGGAGGAGGGGATATCATACCAGCCACTGTCCTGAATTGGGAACCTTCACCCAGAAGGGACCTACTAAAGCCATTAGGATTTGAGGAGAGTGGAAGATGGTTTTGCCCAGTGGCACCAATGAAGCTGCTGCTATGAGTGCTTGGGGGTCCTGAGAGGCTATTGATAGCCTCAGAAACTGGGAGCTTGCACTGCCAAGGGAGAAGGTGGAGTCGGAGAAGAGGAATTTGGAAAGACGAGTATATGTGGCATTGGAAACAATCAGCAAAATTGTCTGTCACAGGATGTGACCCATCTTCCCAGCTTCTAATTGGGTGATCACCCTCCCTTTGAGAGCAGTTGAAAAATCACACTGGAGTAAGCTTGTGTTCCCTTTGAGGACTTTGGAAACCACTAGCCTAGAGAATAGAAATGAAATTATATAAGCCCTGCATGAAGAACAGTATTGGACATTTTATCAGTTCCTTATGGAAATATATAAGTCACTTTAAAAAAAAGTTGGGGTCTAATGAAGGGAAATATTTACAAGGATAATGCAAAATATTGGCTGATCCACCTGGGGCTTTTAATCTCACTTCAACTGTACTTCAGACCCAGAGATAGGGTTTAACCTATAAAATGAGTCAAGGAATTGAGAGACACTGGTAACAAAGATCCCAAAAGATAATGGGTATGAATTCAGACATGTTTTCCCCCAATCTGGCCTCTTTAATGTCTGCCCTTCAAATGGCCACTGTTCCATTCCTTATCTGACACTAGCCAGCAAGAAGGAGATTGTTAAAATGGCAAACTCAATCTTCATATCTAGCAGAGCAAAAACATTTGTGCACAGGAGAGAGGAGAGGGCTGGCCAGGCTAAATATTGAGTATTTAAGCACAGAGATCATCATTAGTTTTATTCTCACCTGTCATGTCTGGTCACTCACATGGATCTTAGCCACCTGTTCTGTTTACTGATAATTAAACTTTGCCAGAAGGATGGTCATGGGCTTCTCCATGTGGTCAGCCACTGAACCAATGGTTTACACTCACATCATTTTTTTTATGGTTTGCGAAGTGCTCCCCAAAACAACACCAACCATTTTAAAGCACCTTTAATACAGGATCTTTCTTTTTTTGTCTTTGGAACCCCAATATCTACCACCTTGCCTTGTCCATAGTAAATACTTAAAAGGTGTTTGTTGATTGACTGAACCTTAGAGAAGCTGGCTTATGGTGTGACCCAGGTGCCAGAGGGGGAAATGTAAGGAGGAGATGAAACAGAAGTAGTAACTGGAGTTTGTGGAATCATAAATTCCTTACATTAAAAATAAAAGAAATGTGAAATAAGAGAAGTAGTAGCTGTAAGCACATAGGTTCCACTAATCCAATTCCTTCCTTGAAACCAATCCAAGGACTGAATAAAAGGTATTGGTCTTTCGTAGAGTGTACTAAGGGGCATCTAGGTGGTGCAGGGAGTAGAGCATGGGGCCTGGAGTCAGGAAGACTCATTTTCCTGAGTTCAAATTTGGCCTCACATACTTACTAGTTGTGTGACCCTGGGCAAGTCACTTAACTCTGTTTGCCTCAGTTTCCTCATCTGTAAAATGATCAGGAGAAGGAAATGGCAAACCACTCTAGTATCTTTGACAAGAAAACCCCAAATGGGGTCAGGAAGAGTCAAATGTGACTGTAAAAACAATTGAACAACAACAACAAAGAGTAGTGAGACTCTTTTCATGATGGTGGAGACTGGGTCTGGCGGTACTCTGTTATAAGGATACATCCACCTATTAAGCGCACAGACCTCCTCCAGCAAATATTTCCTTCTAAGACCTCCAGTTAGGTCATAGGAACAAAGGGTTAATACCTCTGGCCCCAGTTTTAACAACCCATCAGTCAAAAGGTATATATATGCAAGAGTTTAAACCTGTTCAGAACTCATTTGTGTCTTAGAGAAACACACAGAAGATGCTCTTTCGACAGTATCTCTAGTAATGGAAATTGAGTATGATTACCTTTCCACCTCCTCCTCATAGAGTCAAACGTGCTCCTAAGCCCTAAGAGCCAGTGAATAAAAACAATTGTTACTTGACATCACAGGATGGTGCAGCCTTGTAAGATGGGCGTCCCTTTCCAGGCATGATCACTTCATAGAGGCGTTTCAATACACATCTCCATTCAGGAGTTAAGCTCCTGCTAACTTGTCTTAACTGGAGAAGGGAATGGCAAACCACTCCAGTATCTTTGTTAAGAAAAGCCCTCGGCCAATATTGGCATGCTCTTGTCCGTGGAGTCACAAAGAGTCAGAAACACCTTAAACTGGCTTAAGTAAATTAAGTGACTTGTCCAAGGTCACGTAGCCAGTATGAGTCAAAGGTGGGGACTTGGTCCCAGGTCTTCTTTTCTCCACCACCCCATCCTACTCCACATTTGCCCCCCTTGAAAGAAGAGATTGAGGTTGGAAATTATCGCATGGTCCCCATTTTAAAGATGAGGAAATTGAGGCTGTGAGAGGGAAAGAGATTTGCTCAAAGTGACCCAGTTAGAAATTGGCAGAGTGGGAACTTTTAGCCTAAGACTCCTGGCATTTTTTCCTACTAAACTGAAATAATCAGTTCTCTTTTCCCTAAGGGCAATGAGCTGAACTGGCTTTCAAATAGAGACCGAGGGGAAAAAAATCTGAAGCGAGTCTGGCATTAAGTGCCCATTTCTTCAAAGAAACACCAGCAATAGCTGGATATTAAAAAAAAAAAAAAAAAAGGACAATTATTGTTTAGGGGGAAATTGCCACTTATGTCACTGTAAGAAATGAATAGACTTTAAGCTTGCCTCAGCTTTCTTCTCCCAGGAACAAAGCAAGAGTAAATAATCATGGCAAATAGAAGG